GGCTCCCCGCTTATGCTAATGAAGCCCGGGAAATTCAAATCCCGGGCTTCATTAGCAAGTGCGGTATGCATACATTACCCCGCTAGTTCGAACTAGCGGGGTAGTGTAGACATACCCTATCATAGTACTGAAGAACAGAATAAAATATACATCTGGATTCCTTTAAAACCACATCAAATTCTAACTTGGGATTAGAACATGTTGGCAGAGAGTCTTGAAATTATTGTTTCCCTTCCCATTCCTTTGTACTTGATCCTGGAACACTACTTAGAACAATCCACTCTTTGTGAGCTGCAGCTTGTTCTTTCATCTGTATCTAGATAGAAAGAGCCTAAAGAGGAGATTTTGTAAATGCCAAAAGCAAAGGTTGGATCAAAACACATGCAAGTGTTGTATGGGATGCATCAACCTGATGAGCAACATAGATTAAAAGATGATAAATCATATTCTTTCATTATTTTTGGCCTTTGAGCACATGAGAGTAATTAACCTTATACAGTATCTGCATTGCATTTTATAGACTGAAATTATTTTGCTTCTAGAACAACATACTAAAAAAAAAGAGCTTGGATATAATAGATTTCAAATCTGAGACTATGCTAGAAATTCAAGAAATCAATTGGTCTTATGCAGGATGGCCTTCATTTCATCATCAAAGGATATAAAACTTTTGCTTAATTTTTATATTGAGAAACTGCTGAACTTTGATTGACATTAATACTTCTCTAAAAGGGTAAATAGTACCACGATGGGTATTCCCAACCAGAGCCACAACAAGAGCAGGGCAGGTGCATCGTAATCAGGGGTGCAAAGACTCACTAAGTAAAAATAATATGCTGCAAAAGTAAAGAGCATGGTGCGTGCTAACCTAAGGAAAGGGGACACATAATTAATATTTTGTCCTGGGCACAAAAATACCTAGTTTCGGCACTGTTCGCAACAGAGGGGAGGCAGAATAAAAAAAAAATCAAAAAAATCAGCTGCTTAGAAGAATACCGCCCCCAAGTGAAAGGAGACACATTGTTGGAGGAATGGGGAAATTTTACAACTTCTCAATAAACAGCTTTGTCTTGGTAACGTCAGTCAAGTGGCAGGGTTCACTGACCATTTAAGATTAATGATGCCAACCTCTGGATAGGAAAGCCCATAGCTTTTACTCAGAGAACACACCAGAATCACAAAACACAAGGGGAAAGAGAGAGGGATTTCATCTGCAAACAACAAAGCTAAAAGCAAATTGAACAAGGGGAACTGTATTAAATGCTGTGGACCATGGATGTCTCATCAATACCACAAATAGTCTAGGAGCACTTTAAAGACTAACAAAACATGTAGATGGTATCATGAGCTTGATATCCCATCAAGAACAGTTCCTTCCTTGGATTACTGTTCCACTTACCTTAGTACAAAAGACAGGCATTTTGGAAAGGCAATGCATAATTTGGGAAGCAATTCCAGGCTGGTTGTGGTACCTTCGTTTAGGGCTCAAAATAGGAGACTTCAGTCTTAAGTGCAAACCCTCCAAAGACTCAGACTATTTTTAAATGCCCTTTCAAACCTAACTGTGCTCTGAGATGTGACTACTGTAGTTAAAACAGTACTACTTATTCAACATTTCTGTGCATTAAAATTATTCAGAAAAAGTAACTACAGTAAAACTCTAATAGTCCGGCATCCAGTTGTCCGGCACTCCTGATAGTCCGGCATGAACTGGAACCCGGAACTGCTCAGGTCAGCCACTCACAGCCTGCGCCATTCCGCTCATGGTCCCCAGCACACACAGTGTCCAGCCTGCACATACTAACAGCCGGCCGCTAAGCACAGGCAGCTGCTTCGGGACCCGGACATAAGGTTGGGGGAGAAGA